ATAGGTATTAAGTACATGTATTAAATTTTATTTCCAGGGATAATTATGTGTTTTATTCAGTTCTTTTGTCTCATTATTGCAAATGCCAACGCGTAAACAATTGCTTTATGCAAATAAAACATAATGGTCACAATACTAAAAAAATCTGTTCGGATTTATTTTACTGGTCAAGTAATTTTTATATTTATTATTATTATTTTTCTGTTAGCGGTGAATCTATCACACATATTTTTTAAAATAGAAAATTAAACATTTGTTTAAAAGCACAAGAAACTAGTTTCTATCTAATTCTTCTTCGCTGTGTCAGCATTCTGAATGGCATTCAATATAAAAAAAATACCATATAAAACTGTCTGTACTAAATGTATTTGGTTAAACATTATTTATATTTCTATCAGGAGGCTACTATTAACCTGTTTAGATACTACCTGCTATTCTCTATAACCTCTGGACCGATTTTGACGGGACTTTCACTAGTAGATAGCTAATGTTATAGGTATAAAGTAACTTAAGCTACTTTTATTTCAGAAATTTTGTTTATTTTAATTCCTCGCAGAGGAACTTACGGGAAACTAGTTTACAATATACTCAAGAAAGGTTAACGTACATGGGTTTAAAATAATACATTTTATAACCGCCCTGTATTAATTATACTGCAAGTATCCTGATTCTCATAATATCAATAAAAAGTTAAATTATATATTATTTAAATGCTGTGCACGATGAAATCTATTAAGGGACCATAACATTTTATTTTAGTACAGCCATTTAAATAGCTGGAGTTTAATTAGGGACAGAATTTAAATGATTCACAGAGAGGGCGAACTGTGCATAATAACCCAAGTGAAAGTGTCTTGTTCAAAGTGTCTCGAAGAAGAAAAAGATACCTTTAGGTATCATAATTTGTTTAAACATACGTTAATAGACAATAGTAATAGTAAAAAATTGTAATGAATTAATAAATAGAACAGATCAAAACGACTAACACTGAGCTTTGCGTCTAATTGTAATACCCAAGTACGGGTGTATTCGGTTTACCAAGGTTTTATTTCGAACTCTGTTCCACTGTTTTCCGCATACTTTACAGCTATAAACTAGGACTACGACTAGGTACATGAGTACTAAATCTCTCCGAAACTTTAGGTCAATGGAACTTAGCACCTTAATAATGTTATAATTGTTGAAACTTTCGCAATGCCGCTGTATATTTTTATGGTTAACAATGGAATGTTGCAACAGCCTGCACTAGAGGTATACCCTGCCTGTTAAGGATGATAGAATAAACGTGAAGTCAGGTCAGTTAGCCCATGGTGGCGAATTTACCAGGAATTAACGACAATGGTGTCCAAGGAGCACCTGGAGTCAACCTGACATGGTAAATTACTAGGATTGGGGTAATTTTTTTTAATGATAATCAAATGGTGCACCCGCCTGCGCTGATTACGCTGGCGGGGCACCAGTAGAGGATGATAGGCTAAACATGATGTCAGGTCAGTTAGCCCATCGTGACAAATTTACATGGAATTTATCACGATTGTTTCAGGGGAAACCGCAGAGAGGTCAACCTGATATGGTGCATTGCTAGTAATGGGGTCATTAGTCCACATTACTAACAATCTCCTTTCCCCCCAGATTGGGGTAATTATTCCCTTACTGAAATTACCCCTTCCCCAGGCTAAACGTAATAGGTGCAGTTTATTATATAGAAGCGGTGACGGTCTTAGGGTGTGACGAACAGGGCAATCGCCCGGGGCCTCGCTCTTGAAGGGCCTCGCATAACAACCAAAGCAAATTTTAAACAACAAATGGTATTATGCCTAGTGGCAAGTTGCAAAAACTTCATGTTTTAGGTATTTAATCGCAAGTGAACAAAATTACCCACACTAAAATATAAAAAAATGTAAAATAAGGCATAGTTTTCTTGAATCAGCGGAAAAATTCCGCATGATCGTTCGCGTAACATACTTTTCATGACAAAGGGCCACGCAAAGCCCGAAGTCTCACAATGGGTGCCGCCACCGCCGCTATAGTTGTACATAGGTATAGTGTTAGTTTATATACCAAAATCTTCCGAGAGCTCATACTTAGATATGGTTATACCGGTGGTTAGTTACAATATCAATATTTTAAGCATAACTCTCAGAATTCTAAAAGCAAATAGCAACTAGAGCTTAGTCAAATATGGGTACCTACTATTCCTCTGAAAGTAAATAATCTGATTGCATAGATTCCTCGCCCACGTCTGCCTCAATTTTAAACCCTGGTATTACATGGAGCTGAAGGTTCTAGCTACGTAGAGACAACCTATATAAATATTTTATTAAGAAATTTCATTAAAAAGTAAATCTTTGAAAAGTTTATTATACTTGTATAATGAAATATTAGCTTTATTACAATATTTTTCATCTTCAAAATTCGAAAGGTCTGTATCTAATTAAGTGTAATTATATTAGAAGTTTTCTCTAAGTAAGCAGTAAAACTAAGACGAGAACGAAAAGAATCAAAAAAGTAACCAAAATCTAAAAATAATAAGAAAAATACAGTTTAAGCTAATATTAGAAGGAGTTTATTATTATTGAATTTTAGATAAGTGATAATTGCAGTATAAGATGTAATATTCTGTTATCTGTGGTATAAGTAATATTCTGATGTATGTGGTGCTGTTCTTGTTTTTAAACTATGGTTATAACTGTTATAACTCCGTTAGGATATTGGTGTTCTGTGGTTATAATTATAACTGTCCATCAATTGGGTCGTAAGCTTTTTTAATGTTCCAGTCATATACCTACAATGCAATAATATACCTACAATGCCTAAATTATCGCCATGTTTACTCATGAAAATGACTGTTTATCTTAATATAAGTGCCTCGTCGACTTTTCTTTTTTTTAAGTTAATTTAGGTACCGCTTAATATAATAATAGTAAATTATTATATTTAGATGATACGTCCTTGCTTCCCTCCGATCGATCCAATTCAAACGGGGATCGAAATTACGACGGCCTGAGCCGAGGTTCGAACTCCTAGCGGTACCTTCGGACTAAAGACGTATCCGTCAGGCGGGAGTTGATATTCAGCCGCTCTATAAGTCCTTCCGCGGGTTTGGAGTACCATCTGCATCTATCGTCCGGTGAATCTGAAAAGACCAGCTGTATTCAATTCATTCATATATTTATGAATGGGAAGAAACTTCAAAGGTAAGGTAAATAATTGGTAGTACGCTGAATATGCGGTCACATTCTTCTTCAGGTTACAAATTCGAAGGGCAAACGTCGACTCTTTCACGCGCCTTTCTAAACTGAATAGGGTGAACCGTCCTCCTAACCAAGGCGAAGCCTACCCTACAACACGTACAGACCGGCCGAACGCCGCCAGAGTCACGGTGGAAAGCTACGGCAACGTTGGACTCCGGCAGTAGCAGCTCAGAGGTACACTGTGTGGATTTATTGCATTTGAGTCTCCTCGGTGATCTTGCGGTTTAGCACACCATCTTACTTCGGTGGTCGCGGGTTCGATTCATCGCAGACTTTGTATTCATGCATACGATTGTTTGTACCTCTCTGGGTGTTTTCTATATATTATGTATGAATTTACAAAAAAAATCTAATATGAATATTTCAAATATACCTATAATTCTTGTTATTATAATTCTGGCTTGTGCTAGTACCCATAGCACAAGCCTTTGAAAATTTTCCATCAATAATTGGGCCACTCTTCATGGCAGCTTCTGAACATAAACTGTGGTCGAATCTGCACATCAAGTTTGTACAAAGGCAAAGTTACGTCAATATTAACTGAATCCTTGTCCGATTTAGACGTTTACAATACTAAAATATTTACCCGCATTCAAATTAGAATTTGGTGATAATATATTCTGTAATAACAAGATGGGGTGGAAAGATTTCAATGAAGGGATAATATTATAGAAACAAATGTTTATACAGCATGATAGACTACAAAATATAGCGTAGATTAAAGTAGTAGATACTTATAGAAGAAAATTATTTTACACGCGAAAGAAAAAAGAATATCCAAATGCATATTTCGGACCACTCTAATGCTGTTGGACTCAGCTGGCCTTTACAGATTCACCGAAAAGAGCTGCTATGGTGCGGCTGTAGGCCAACTCCCGCCTGGCGGATACGAATTTAGTCTGAGGGCACCGCTAGACACGGAGGATCGATCGGAGGCGTTCTTTGAAGTTTGAATTATTAAAACAGTATGACGAATGCAATGGGCATTCTATCAAATTTTCCGTTGTAACGTTCCCCAAAAACTTATGCAATATGAAATGAGGACGGAGTGCCACAAATTCAGTACCTTGAACTTATAAAAAAAACACCTATACATTAACATTTGACATGTAGACTGAAATATTCTACAGGTACAGTCTAACATGACAATAGAGGAACAGATATGTTTATAAATGAAGCACAATTTTCATATAATATCACTAAAATATATGGGAATAATACAATATTTGGGATAGATTTACTTGTTACAACGGAAAATTAAAATCAAATATTATAATGAATGTCTATTTTAGTTAACACATTTACTTGTTTACCAACAAGCATGGAATTTTTAGTTTTAAGTTAAATACTTTTATTATGTTATTGGTATTTGCTTCACTGGAGAGTTAGTCACAAATAAAAAAAAAATTCTTGTGTCGGCTAAACAGATTTTTTTAGTATAGTACAGGATAGTAAACCGATAAAAAGTACAGGATAGTAAACCGATAAAACATATATGCTTTTTATAGAATATAAAACTGACCTAGAGCATTGAGCACGATATACCCACAGATCCGACTTATTACTTCATTCAGAGCAGAGAGAAATTTCGAGCAGATCCCGAGACTATAACACGGGTGTAGATTTAATCCATTTAAAAAAATGTAAACTCTTTAGTACTTTGTCACAGTGATATTATTATCTACTAAATTGTGGACTTAAGTTTATTATTTAATTTAATATTAATAAAACAACAACTTAATCATATCATTGTAATTCTCCACAATTACTAATAATGACTTTCGATGAAACTGTCCCGCTTTTCGTACCGTATCTCTCCATTTTCTTCAATACGTCTAATCCTGATATAACGTGACCGAACACTACATGTTTATCATCGAGCCAATCAGTTCTGAAAAGGAAATATAATTTATGTATTTGATTATTACATACAATAAAAATTTAACATGAAGCTGTTTGTACATGGAAGTTATATGAAAAAATAATAACCTTGGACAAATCATACAGCGCCATCTAATAATAATAATAATAATCTTAGGACAATTCACACAGCGCCATCTAGACCCAAGTTAAGCTAGCTAAAGCTTGTGTTATGGGTACTAGATAACTGATACAAATACATAGATATATTTTTTTTTGTAAATACATACATATTATATATAGAAAACACCCAGACCGATACAAACAATCATACTCATGAATACAAATGTTTGTGCCGTGCGAGGAATCGAACCCGCGACCATCGGTCGTAAAGCGGTGTACTAGACCGCTGGACCACCGAGGTCGTCAAAATCTAATCTAAAGCTACACAGGTCTTGCATTATGAGTACTATATAACTGATATAAATACATGTCAGCTCTTCTCATCTCGAGATCATTTCGAACTGACGGTAGATTTGACATATCATAAGAGTCTGTAATAGACCTACATGAATAAAGATATTTTGAATTTGAATTTAACTTTTTTTTTATAAATATACACATAAGAAAACACCCAGACCAATACAAATTCAATTGACAGCTTCGGTGGTCTAGCAGTTTAGTGCATTACTTTACTTCCAATAGTATATTAACGGGTTTGATTCCACACACGTTACAAACATTTTGTATTTATGAGTACTATTGTTTGTATTATATTATGTATGTATGCATTTACAAGAAAAAATACTAAGTATTTCTATCAATTGTCTATTACCTATAACACAAGCTTTGCTTAGCTTGGGACTAGACGGCGTTCTTTGGAGTGTCCATGGTTATTATTAACTGTATTGCTCATGTATATATAATACGGTTGCCACTTTAGATGATCGGTGGTTAAAGTAGATTTTTGTTATTAAAATAAAACATACTTTGCTGTACACAGAAAGAATTGTGATCCATTTGTGTTGGGTCCAGAATTAGCCATACTCAATATGCCGGGTCCTGTATGCTTCAGTTTGAAGTTCTCATCTTCAAATTTTCGTCCATATATTGATTTCCCTCCAGTACCATTGTTATTTGTGAAGTCGCCGCCTTGACACATCTGAATGGTTTCATAAGGAATATTGTTCTTTTACTAAATTGGAAAAAAAATGAGATATACTTTGTACAAAGGGCTGTGATAATGGACATGACTTCTGGGTTAATAGTACTCAAAACAAGTCCCTTTACATCATCTACCAGCAGACCCATGCAGGAGATATATCGAGATCTCCAACTATAAAATTTCCCTAGTCCCTAGCCCAAAAATTAAAGCAAAATTGTAAAAGTATTATGTTCTAGAATAGAATAGGCATAATCTTTATTCGCCGTATAATATTCTTTTGTTCTACCTTTAATTTAGCATAGCAAGCATACTCATCACAAGAAGAATGAACATGAAACTTGTGTGTTGTTCTGTTTCAACAAATATCAATGATAATGTGTGAATACCCATGTCAAATAGCAAGAATGATAAAAGTAATCTTAATAAGATTAAACTTGATGCTATTTTTTTTAACAAGGTAGTCTTTGTTAAGTCTTTTGTGTACCTCTGTCGCGCCTTATTTTGTAAGATGTTAATAATGTGAAATATGAGTAAGAAGGGAAGGATATGCTAGTGAAATTACAGGACATGTAAACCTGACATGTCCATGTTATCAGCTCATCAATATTAGTTACTATTTAAAAAAGGATACAAAGTCAGGGATAATCCTGTGAAAGCTGCTACCCTGGTAGCCGAATCCTTTCTCGTGTGTGCACAGCGCTCTGAAGTTCTCTGCAGTCTTGGGAACTATATCTGCTCGTAGCATCATGATTATCCTGCCAATCTCTTGCTTACCCACACTAATGTCAAAGTACACCTGTGGATTCCGTTTCTCTTTTGATACAGTAGTTGTTTCCTAAAATGAAATTTAAAGGTGATTACTAAAACTGGGCACTGCCATGATAATTCAACCAACTCAAGACTTCCTATGCCAGGTATTGAATTGAAGAGACTACTTTTAGAAATAAGTCCTTCTTTTATTTAAATACATTTAAATTGAAATAAAGAATATGTTTATTTATTTATTATAGCCTATGATGATACTCGATCATAGAGATATAAAATTTAATTTTGTATACTTTTGTAACAAATGAACTCCTTAATTATAAAATCAGAAATTTTAAGTAAACCACAAATAAAATTAATTATTTCCTTTCACTTCATTTTACAACTGGGGATAAAAAATTGCTCAATGATTTTAAAAATAAATATTTCTGTGAACACAATAAATGTCTTTTTTTATATTTACACATATTGGAATATAGCTAATTTTACAATATATGTATATGAATATATCAAATTACTGTAAAAAACAATTAAATATTTTTTTTATTCTATACCGAATTATTAATTAATAATAAAACTAACTATTTTATATAAAATAGTTAAAATTTCCTGTGCTCAATAAATGCAAAATAAAAAATAATATACACTTACATTATCAACCTCCATACTAGTCTCCTTGTTGCCATCTTCTTCTCCATCTTTCTGTTTCTCAATGGCCAGTGTTTCACCAGCATGTTTCTGCAACCATGTGTCATCTGACCATACAGGTCTAGTGGAGCCTTCTTTGATCCGCTGTGGAGCTGCTATATTTACTCTTATAGTACGACCAAAGAGTTCCGAGTCATTCTGAAATTATATGGTAGTAATTGACTTTAAAATAATCTATATGATATTTACTAATGGTTTTCAGCAACAAACTCCAACATAAGCATAATATTAAGGGATCAAAATAATATGTAGTTAGTAAATAATTTTAATTGAATTGAATATCTTATAAAATGTAAATGAAAATAAGTAATATCTTTCACATTGATTAGGAAAAATGTTAAGTTTCCTATTACAGTTTATGAGTATCTCAATGTAAATACAATAGCTGAAGAGATAAAATAATGCTACTACAAGTACTAGGAACAAGAGTGAAACTATGATACTGGCAAATCATTTAATAACCCAGATAATATATAATATATATATAAGATATATATAAAAACATAGGTTACTAGAAACCGATGACAAATCAGGTCCAATTAAAGAAATAATGTAAATCACATGCTACGTTCTACATCAGTTTATAGTCTTTGACTGATCGCAGGATCATCAATCAACAATCAACATCTAGATAAGCTAGAATTTGTGTTATGGGTACTAGACAACTAATACCCATAATAAAGAAACATTTTTTGTATATAGTATACATAGAATAGTATATCAATACAGATTACCTTTTACAAATAGAAATAACACATTACCTTACAAAATATATAAATTGAAATAAATAAATAAACTTTAAACTTGTTGTAGGAATATTTTTATTACTATGTAGACATGCAATGCGCAGAGCTATTCTTGCACTTACTAGGATAGTAGTACTAAATTGTATCTAACCATATTATCAATAGCGGCCGCAGCGTCTTCTGCATTTTCAAATTCAATAAAAGCAAAGCCTCTGTGTTTCTCTGTTTCGTAATCTAATGGTATTTGTACATCAACGAGATCCCCGAATGGAACGAATGCCGCATTAAGAACTTTTTCATCCACCTCCTCTGCTAAGCCACCGACGTACACAGTCCTTTTAGAATTCGGTTTACTTGTCATTGTAGTCACAGATTATTGGTACCGGTCTTATTTATATTGTATGTTTCTAGGTTATGATTAACAAACGGACCATAACAGATGTGTTAAACTATGTAACCTATTATCCGAAAACAATCACTAGGTTTTAATAAACAGTCAATTTGCAATCACAATCACTGAACAATTAAAATAGGTAAAGAAAACAGTAGCAAACCAAATTGAACAAAAATATTTCACAATTCAAAACTTAAAAATTGAAATGCTTTTTTTTCTGGTTCTGTTTACCCTTTAAAGATAAGGCAAAGGGAGTTTTGACTATACAGCCATATCTGTTCATTGTATTATTTTTAACTTTCATATTTCATTTTATATATCTTGAATTAGTAATATAATATAACCAAAAAGTCCAAAAAATCTTATTAAATTCCCTAATAGTTTCTAAAATCAATACTGCATACATGGATAAACGTGTCTCTAAACGTCAAGTCGCAGAGTATGTCAATATGTCATCTATGTAATTTCGCTAATCAGAGAGAGAGGTGAGGGGGGTGGTCAATCGTTTTATTGATCTGAAAGCTTTTCGAATCGGTGGCAGCCATTCAAAATAAAGAACAAGGTTTTTGAGGTGCTTGAGGTATTGTATATAAACATTTTACTTTTTCAATAACTAAATAGTAAACTATAATATCTTGTAATTGTATATTTTATATTTGTGTAAATAATGAAATAGGTATTAACAAATTGTATTGTTTCTAAATGTGGTAATAATAAATGTAAATGTTTATTTAAACAGAAACTATTAATTCACACATATTTCATTCAAATCGGCACATCGGGAGGAGTTAGGTCACCAATAGGGTATATAATATTTATTTAAAATATAAATTACTGACCCGTGAATTTATTATATATCGTCCAATATACAGATCTTTTTCAATTATAGAGTACCTATGTGTTAGTTAGATATATAGATATTTTACTGTAATGTTGCATCAAAATCCGTTCAGTACTTTACGTAAAAGAGTAACAAACCTCCATCGATAAATACAAACAAAGATTCCCGTTTATAATATTACTAAGAAGCTCGTAATTTTTTTATGATCACATATGTACATTTTCTTTGTTTAGACATTCTTTGAAAAAAAATATATTTATTACAGTTGCAGACAACGCTGCTAGTCATTTCAAAATCTGTGAATCTAACCAGGGCGTGGACATAATGTGTCGGCCTATAATCCAATTACCACTATCAAAAAGTTTGTATATCTCTTTCTTATTATATTTTCTTACACATTGCTACCCTTCATATGGGGGATAATATACTAGCAAATGTATATATGTAATATACATGCATATACTAGCAATGTACCATGTCAGGTTGACCTCCATACGGTTCCCCCTGGAAACCATTATGATAATTTCCTGGTGAAATTTTCATGATGGGCTAACTGACCTGACCTCATGTTCATCTTATCATCATACACTGGTGCCCCCAGCGTAAACCATTAGCGCAGGCAGGTTCACCATTCCATTATCATTCATAAAAAAAAAACCCCTTCATATGCAGGCTCTAAGTGGTACATGGTGTCTGGAACTATCTGCTTATACATTTGGAGATTATATCTATTGATGATGCAAAATAACAATAAATGGCCTATCTATTAGTTTTTTAGAATTGTATGTGGTGTATGCGAGATATTATAAAATTAGTTATCTTATTCCTTTGTGGAGTACTTCTGTTGCTTTAATTAGCTTTGACGTATATTCAATTAATAACATATAACAGAGTATATAATACTGATTATTTTTATATGAAAGCTTAGTAGATAAACAGAAAAACAGATGGTTTATGCTTTATTATAATTTTATTATACACACATAGAGAAATATGTAACATAGCTACATAAAATGGAATGTATGTTACGCAAGTGATGAATAATGTAACATTTCTGGAATTTAAACATAAAAACAAATATGTACTAACATATAGAATATTCAAAAAGGTTTTTTGAGTAACTTATAAAAATTATTGAAAAAAACTTTGTTTCTTTTATTTATAAGTATTATATAGTATTGATTTATCATAAATTAATTTAATATTAATTATTATTAATAAATCATTTATATTCAGCTGCTGAACTGAATTTATCCGAACACTCCGAAAACTTATGATGGATTTCCAGAATATAGCTCAATCACTGTTGTCATAATCATACATTATGTATGTATTTGTACACAAATACGTCCTTATTACAGATAGCTGTTGTTATAATTTGATCATTGGTACTTGTGTATTCATGAGCCCTCTGACCCAAGACGAAGGGGCAAGTCAGTGTTGATTCTGAAGTGGAGGGTGAGAACCAGTAATCTTTATTTAAGTTGGGTACAATTTTCAGGAAAGGGGATTTAGCTCACCTATCCTCAACCCTCTGCCCCAGGGGGAAAGGGGATTGTTAGTAATATGGATTGATGGCCTTATTGCTAGCAATGTACAATGTCAGGTTGACCTACACACGGTTGCCCTTGGAAACCATCGTGATAAAATCCTTTTGAATTTGTCATGATGGCTAACTTGACTGAGTTCTTGTTCATCTTATCATCTCTACTGGTGCCCCGCCAGCGTACACCGTCAGCGCAGGCAGGTGCACTATTCCATTATAATCCATAAAAAAACCATCCACCCCACATGGTTCCTATTTTTATTATTTAAATACATATATTTTGTTTTCAGATATGAAATACCAGCATGAAATGAGTAGTAGGATAAAAAGAGTAAAACTTTTAATCATAAAAATTACTGCTCTAAGGGCAAAACTTGACGAATATCAAGCAGCAAAACAAAGACTCATGTCGAAATAAGTAAGTACTGCCAGTAATTTAATAAAAGATAAAATTTTTCGAAATATAATTGGAACAAATAGTACTTCCACAAGACATTTTACACAGTGTATAAAGCAAAGGTACAAAGAAAGTAAGGAAAGTCTGTTTTGTCAACAGTTAGCCTAACAGAGATTATTAACCGGTGCAATATAATAATGGATGTTAGTTACAAATGCACGTACAAAGAAAAATATATAAACACTGGCTGTTTCACCCTCGTTATATATCAATAAAAAATATCCCTACAATATTATAAATGCGAAAGTAACTCTGTCTGTCTGTCTGCCTAGCTTTCACGCCAAAACTATTATTAAATGAAATTTGGTACACAGATAGTCTAGAACCTGAGAAAGGCCATAAGCTACTTTTTAATCTGAAAAAGGGATGTAACGGGTTGAAAGGGGAGATGGAAGTATCGACAATTTACACGGGCGAAGTCGCGGGCACATCTAGTAGCCTATAAATATATAGTTTCATCAATATCTATTCCGTAGTTTTTGCGTGAAAGAGTAACAAGCATCCATACTCACAAACATATATATATATATATTTGTATCATATGCATAAATCCATTACATATTTGTGATGTGGTACACCACTATCTATATTATGGTGTGGTATGATTGTCGTAATACAATTGAGTTATAAAACATTGTTCAGTTACCTCTTTAATGTGTATTCATACAAAATGATAAATATGAGTTTTTCATTTTCAGACATAGTTAAGCTACATTCATTATACTCTTTAAATGCCGAAAAAGTATTCTGTACGTGATTGGAAATAATGTGGATGTCAAAACTAAATCCTAAAATAAAAACACCTTAGTATTTTATAGTATTAATAGCTCCAATGGCAAATCAAAAAAAACAGTGGCTCATTGTGAAAACGCAGAGTAATCAGATACAGTAGAAATATATCTTGTAATGAATAAAAACCACCATGTCAACTAAACATATTTCATCAACAACGAATGTTCCAAAATGACAAAATTTGAGGTCAATCACAAATTAACATTATTTGAATAAATCAATCACAGACAGAATCTGATGTTTTTCTTTTCGTTCTCCTGTTACCTTAGAACATTTTAGACCCATCTTATTTGTATGTACTAATTAACATTTTTTCAAATAAATCAATCATAGACAGTATCTGATGTTTTTCTTTTCTTTCTCCTGATATCTTTTAACATTTTAAGCCTATCTAATTTGTTTGTATTACTGTTTCCCTACATGTACTTTGTTAGACTATTTCTGTGTTTGCCACGAATGTGGATACCGATGTTGCCTTTGATAGCAAAACTGGCGTCACAAAATTGACATTTGTAGGGTTTTTCACCGCTGTGTATCTGAAACAACATAGATTGCAAGTATAATATTCTTTAAAATATCTACTTATAATGGAGTTCTAATTTCAAACAAAAAAAAATAGAATGATATGCTGTTTAATAGCAATATTAGATTTTTTTTAATTTTGATAAGACTGATATTTGTAGAAGAAAAAATGAAGTAGGTACATACATCGAAAATAAATCTAATACGCCATTTAAAATTTAAATAGCAACTTTTTGCAATTAGTAGTATCTGTGTTTATTAATCTTGAAGGAGTGCCAACAATTAGAAAAAAAAAAGGTTAGGAGTGGAAACATTTTTTTTATGCAATTAATCTAATACTTGTGTAACAATTTTTTATGTTAATTGCAGATGTATATTAAAAATAATGTTTTGAAAATAATTTTAATGTTGATTTAATCTCTCAGTTCTGTCACAAGATCACAAATGTTTAAAACTATTAAAGAGTCTTAGTGCCATCTATTGATGTGAATTAAGTAACTTTTGTCATATCGTCTTTATTGCTTTCAATTTTGTATTTAGGTAATGGACTATAGATGTCGTCTAACAAACGTTTTATTTTCTATAGACTAATACGTATTTATTATTATTAATATAATAAATTATAGTTAGAGTCTATGGAGGTTTGTTTGTACTCACTAATAAGATTGTAATTATATTTATCCACAATATATACCAATAAAATCTATTGAAATTATATATTTTCCGATCCCGTTTATTACCAACTAATAAAATATATTTTCGATTCAAAACGTAAAGATAACTATAAACTTATAAGAATATTGCTAATTTTCTAGAAAATAGGTGATTATATTTAAGTACAACTACAATATAAGATACCACGCGGTAGAAGGATCATATTAGGCAGTGATTACAGGATAAGTAGCATGGCATCATAGACCTCTGTAATGGCAACGCATGAGCGACATCTGTCTACCATCTCTATCTACCATACCATTAAAATACAATTTTCAGTCATTAATAGTTTTATTACATATTTATACAACATTCGTTATCAGCACGAAGAATAAATCAATTTAAAAGACGATTTAGCTCTTCTTTAGTATGGACATAGTCCTGAATGTCCACTTAAAAGGGACAAGAAGGGAAATGTATCCAAAATAGAACAGGATATTAAAGATACAACGGATTACCTTTGTCCTGTAGTTGTATCTAGATTGGAAAACAGAAATTGTGACAAATGGATAATTTATTTATGGAACATCAGTATATATGACTTCACACATGGTGAATGGCTGAAGAAATATTGTCGATTCGGTATGGACTTACTCAGAAAAGGTCTAGCCGTTTGAGTGGAGTACACGGAGGTTGAAAAGGAACCGTGTATATATTTTACTATGTTGTATTTTTGATACTGTTGTTTTTGTTACGTTGTATTTTGTTATATATATGTTTTGATTACGGGAGGATATGTTGAGAAAACTCTTTTGATATTAATATATCTAAAGGTTTTTTCTATTCTATAATCAAAAATATAAAAACAAATTATTATATTGTGTCACCTTCTCTATCTACCATACCATTAAAATACAATTTTCAGTCATTAATAGTTTTATTACATATTTATACAACAACTCCAAACCCGCGGAAGGACTAATGGAGCGGCTGAAGGCCAACTCCTGCCCGACGGATACGACTTTAGTCTGAGGGCACCACTGAGGGGTTCGAACCTCGGCTCAGGCCGTCGTAATTTCGATCCCCGTTTGAATTGGACGGGGGATCGATCGGAGGGGCTGAGGTCAGGTTAGTTAGCCCATCGTGACAAATTCACTAAGAATTTATCACGGTGGTTTCCAGGGGGAACCGCGTGGAGGTCAACCTAACATGGTACATTGCTTGCAATGGGGTTATCAATCCACATTACTAACAATCCCTTTCCCCCCTCCGTAGTGCTATTCAAGTATATAAAGAAATGTCTACAGCCGACCCTTTGTAAGCCGATTTGTAATACAATAGTGAAATCCATTTGCTTTACGGGGTTAAAAAAACTTCATATAATAGATACTTTTATGTTTAGATACATAAAAGAGATTTTGAATGAGAACCGAGCATTTCTAATACCTACCAGTTGCAAGTAGGACACATGCAGACGAACCAGTGTTGACTAATAGTGCACAAGTTTATTGTGAGTACCGTACAGGGATGCCAACTGTACGAATATTCTCATACAAGTACTGGGTTTTTGGCATTCGGTACGAGACCATTTTCATCCTAGTACAAGTTTGTACAAGATTTTGTAATACGAAAATCGGTCAAAAAAGAACGAAAGCAAATTTATCAAATTTTTCATGATTTCTTGCTTAAGTATTTTAAGGTTGGCAACCCTGATACCGCGACGAATTCTTTTGTCATAGACAGGGAAAGTGACACCGTAAAACTCATATTCATTTATATCCCACAGTGCTTAGACTAAAGTTCCTATAAATACCTAAGTGGAATAACGGTGACACACTTATGTAAAATTAGTACTAGTGCCATTATCTCTTCAGTGTTTCTTAGTCTGTCATTCGTAAACTGGTGATGGGCCTTGACTTACACCCAGGGTGCAGGGTGGGGTATCGGATTTTTTATTCTTTTTTGAGTCGTCTACAGCACTCAGATTCGTTCTGGCCGTCATTTCCACATTTTTAACTAACTGTCTGCTAATAGAAATACCGATGCAATGCAAATTTATGAGAAAACTGATTACTGATTTTCTAATTCAATTAGTCCTAACAAATTTTCGACGTTCAAATTGTATATGTTCACAACAGTCAGGCGTAACATACAATTTAAACTGTTGTGAATTTGATAATGCATCTGATTAACTCAGCTGTGATTACAGTTATAGAAGTTTTATTGCTAGCAAAGTACATACAATGATTGTCAGGTCGAGCTCCACATGGTATCCCATGCTTAATTTCTGGGGAATTCTCCACAATGACGTGACTTCATGTTCATCGTTTTATCCTCCACTCATGCCCTGCTAGCGTAAACCGTTAGCGCAGGTGGGTGCACCATTCCATTTTTATTCATTCGGAAGCAAATCTCGTAAATCCGCATTAGTATTTTTTAAATAATTTATATCATAATAGATACAGCTAAACAGATACTGTTATTCCACAGATTGCTATCAGATCTTTGGAACCAGTAACCAGTACGTTAATCAGGTCCTTTTTAGGCTGCATCGTGTTTACGATTGTTATCTAATGGCGACGTCTTGTAGCCATAGTTTAATGTGGGTAATAATAATTGCAATCCTGTACAGACCTATTGGGCACCAGGATCTAACATATTGGGTATGGTCATGAGACTTAATATAGGTATCAAATTATACCTTTATTTAGTGTGGTGAAAGTCTACCGTTGAGGCCCACTCGCCTCACGGGCCGCTCGTCCAAATCTTTTTTGGGAAATTTCCTGATACTATCCAGCCGCTTATTGACTGTAGGATTTTAACACACTAAAAACCACATGGTGCGCCTTCGAAACGTTATTTTATTTTTGTATATCAAATAAAAGGAATGTAAACTTACAACTAAGCGCTAAAACTATTATTAAAGTAGGAAAGGCTTCGTCAGCATATGTAATGCTCGAACAGTGGGACAATTTGGTACCTACATACTAGGATGGCTTGTGCGCACAACAGGAGTTGCAAACAGTCAGACACGGCGACCGGTGATACTTCTACGTAATTCGGTGGAATATTAAATTTTATACGTTCTACAACTGCCGGATTGTTTGTTTGGTTGCTCGCAGCAGAATACAGTAGTCGATGGTTAATAGTTTCCGCATGAGTAGTAATGGGTCTAGTGTCTCATCATTATTATTATAGCTTTTATTCACATAAACTTAAATTACATTATTTTAAACAAAAACATTAAAACTTAAAATTTTTTAAAAACAATATTTGGATCCTTTTTAGTTTCTGCAGATCTGTTTGCCAATCGGTAAAGGCCTCCTCCAATCGTTTTCTCTTTTCTCAATTCTCCTCTTTCTTGAGCCACTCTATCCCACATTACTATTATAATTCTAATGAATATAATGTATTACAACAGATTAATGTCTATTTTATCATACCTATTACAAATATATATGGGATTCACCATTCCCGGATTCATAGGTTGTTAACACTACCTGCAGGGCCTGCTCTAGATGTTGTAGGACATGCCTGATCTCGGTTAAGGCGATTACTTCATGACGACTACACATGTATTGTATTTACATATAAACCTTGCTCTCTATTTCATAAAAATTCGTTAGTATAAAAGGTCTAAGCAACGATTTTTTTATGCTTGTAAAGAAGAAAGTACAAAAGGAACCGCATAAATGGAATGAAAGAAAATGTTAAAATGATTTTAGACGTAAATAAGAATAATAGATGTACTATTTATTTTAATCAGTTTCAGTAGAATGCCTCTTAATTAGAAAATATAGTTTATTTATATGCTCTTGGTGTTCAATACATTGTATTCTTGTTATATTGTTACAACTAAGTTTGTCTGGAAGAGATTGCTTGCTTGCGATAAGACCGCCTTTTGTACATCTATATCTCTTGGCAATATAATTCTTGTAACTATTTATTGCAATAAAGAATTTATAAATATAAAATTATATAAATAATATTTTTAACATTATGAAATAATAAAATAGACAGACTTTCTACAGCGCAGTCTGTATGGGCATCCTTTGCAGCCGCTAAGTAACTTTCTTTGTATTCAACTGTGTTTCCATTTGAAGGGTAAGAAGAGGATATAAGAAGGGTAGTATAATAGCGTAAGAAGGCAGGACACCTTGGTTTTCAGGAATAGTAAGTCATGAAGTTTAACAGCCGTCTACGTGGACACAACTGTCTTATATATTACAACCGGCAAGCACTTTTCTTTGTGTTCGTTTAACTATTTTTCTATTTGAAGGGTGATATATATGTAGTTGTATAATTATAGTATAAAAAGGCATGATACCTTAGTCTTCATGAATGGTAAGGCATGAAGTTTACCACGGACATCAAATGCCGACGTAGTATCCGTGGTACTGTACCTGTATATAGGTTTACCACTTGCCATCAGGTGGGTTGTGGTTTTTATTCTAGGAGTATGTAGTTGAATAAAATTGATTGAATGTAAGTACATATCGATAAATTGCTTACTAATTACATCTGTTTGTTGAAATGAGTAGTATTAAGCCCCTGATGGCATCTCCGGAGGTCTGTTACCAGGAAGTTGCGAATCGTTAAACAAGATCTACACTGTTTTATCCTTATTTGTTATTAATTACCTCACAGTTCCCATCCCACCTCTCAAGCTCCATTACTATGGGGTTGGTATAAGAAGTAACCAGTTTAGTGAGATACCTAAGCTCGGTCTATTTTTTCATACTCGTTCGGAGGAAGCGGGACGGAGTGGATCAATGTAAATTGGATAGGCCATTGGACAGTGGTCACATACTGCTGTATCGTTCGTCGAACTGTTGATTAAGGTGGATTTAAACCAAGTAAGTAACTTGTATAGGTATTCTAGTAAAATTTCTATATCAGGGAAGTGATCTTGAAGAACATTGGTGAACATATTCCTTTAGTTTAGTCGAAAACTTATTTCCATATTGAATTCAATCCAATGCAGTCTAGCATCGTACCTACTATTTATAATGTTGTATATTATTGGTCAAATCTATAATATTCAAGTTTTTATACTTATACTTAATAAAAGGGTATATACTACACTCTATAATAAAATCAAATGTGGAGACGTAAAAAGTACTGAGATAGACTTTGTTTACAAAGATTCAGTCAAATTTCAGCTATTAAGCATTCTGTTTTGTCAGTTGTGTTTCGATTAAAGTGACAAGACAGTGAAGCAAGAACGAGAAGCTATAAGATTGTTTTTTTAAGTTGAAACATAGAAAAGGTAGGTCATATTTGGAAATACCATCGCTGGAAGATGTAGCTACGATTCTATAACTATTATCATAGCTCTTAAATCACTGTAATTTTTTTCTGTTCACGGTATATCTATTAGTTCCTTTTTTTATTATTCCAAAATAATGTATTACCTACATATTTACAAAACTTAATTGTATAACTGAGAACCTAAAATTAAAAACCTTAAAAAATAAAATATAATAATTAAAATATATTATTAAAAGGAGTCCCTTTAGGCAAGGTTACGAAGATTGTGGCAGCGTTCCCTCTTTGTATGGCTAAACTAATTCTTTGTCTGAGGTAGCTGTGCTGTAGCCCTTCGGTCTTCTGTGATGTCGACTAACCTTTTTGTTATTTCCTTGAAAAGTCTTATAGCGCTAGGACCCCACGGACCAAGGGTCTCGACACCGATTATAAGTTCTTGGTCGTCTGCTTGCTTCCAAGCAAAGGCCTCCACTCTATTCTGTCTTGAATGATACTAATCCATAGTTTTCCTGCTCTTCTTTAACTAACTTTAAATTAACTTCTTTAACTCTCTTTCAATCTTTTATATGGTCGTCCTCTTCTTTGTCCTTGTCTTGGGTACCAAGTAGTTACGATTCTATAATTAGCTATACATAATAGAACTTGTTATTGTATGTATTTTCCGGACTACTCTAATGCCGCTGGCCTTTACATTTTCACCCGATCATAGGGGGCGAGTTCAGATGGTATTTCTAACCTGCAGAAGATTTATGGAGCTGAAGGCCAACCTTCGCCTGACGGATACGACTTTAGTCTGAAGGTAAGGCTAGCGGTTTGAACGTTTGAAGAGATTTGAAGTGGAGTTCTTCAAGAAGGGTATATTAAGGTTTCTTAGGAGCCGGCAACGCGCATGTGACATGTGCCCTGGCGTTTCAGGTATCCACAAGCTAAGGTGGCCCTTTTCCAACAGATGAGCCGTGTGCTTGTTTACCACTTACGTGGTATAATAAAGAGAGTGGACGGAGTTCGATCCACTTTTTTTTATTTTAACTATTTTTATATGTATTGCATGTAGTATGTACATAGATCTTATAGGCTCTGTGTCAGAGCAATAAAGTGAGTATAAAACGAGTACGGCGGCTGTGTGGTGCCTACTCGCCGCGCGCAAGGTCAAGTGCGAACGTCCAAGTCATTGCTCCTCGCGTGCGCGTCGCATAGTTGCGCCTGCGCCGACCGCATTACACTGACCGACGGATTTGCGATCGCGGTAAGTTTGTACTAATATTTACTTATATATATATATATTATTATACCAGTCAAAATATAACTATGATATCTTTATAAAATAATATGAAAAATAGTGATACATTTATTTTTTTAAATAATTAAAACTACATTTAAAGAAATATTTTTTTGTGTAACTAAAAATAAACATTACTTATGTTACTTAATTTTATGTGAAAAAAATATATACACAATAAGTAAGGTTTTGAGCATATCTGCGTACAATAAACTTAAAAGCTCAGTGCATGTGATGATAAGAAAGCTTCGCAAAATATAGCATCGATATGGGATAATTTTGTTATGTTTTCATAAGTGTTTACTTTCTATCAATCCAATTTTATAGTGATGTTTTTTCTTATTGAAATAATCTGTTTTGTAAATAGCTAATCCAACAGACAAACAAGAAGTTCAAAAGTTTACGGTTTAATATTGAAGTCTATAAATGTGTATAATATTAAAACTTTATGTCGACATAAAAAGGTAAATGAGTTTTTTTAATTTTTTAGCTCTTCTCAGTGAATTCGTTTTTCTATTGTATATAATATACATTTAAAATACAATGTACATTTACAAAGTTATAGCTAATTTATTTCGTATTAAAATTAAGTAGCTGATTCCATAAGTTTAATTAAATACGAGACGCATGTGCATAATTTATATGACAACGTTATATAGTGGAGCTGCATATAAAAGACATCAACGAGCAAACTAAACGATACGTGATTATTTTTAGCTTTAACTTAATCTAAGCAAAGGTAAATATCTAATCATGAAGATATATAATCTATAATTTAGTAACTGTTATAATATTATACAAAATTCAAGTAGTTACAACTAAAAATTTAACAAGATTATACTGAGTTCTTTCTGAAAGTCCAATTTTAGATGTAAACATACTACATTATAAATTATGTTATAATATAATAAATGTTATTTAACCGCAACTATATGTTTATAAAATACTGTTTATATGACAATATCTAAAAATTATTATAAATCTGTAAAAATATTATTAGTTATAATAATAATAGTAACAATTTGCGATTACGTTCCGTATAAAAACAATAAGTCAAAAGTTAGTAATAAAAAGTCAAACGTAGATTTATTAATTTAGTGTCTCTTGTGATATATGTACTTTATTTGGTATAACCTCTAATTAAGGTATAGTAATGACATACTATTAAATCATAATATTTTTTAAAATACCCTAATATCTTTGCTGTTAGTAACAAAAACTTAGTGTTACATAAAATATAATTTTGCAAACTACTATAATTTCGCGAATAGAAGAACATATTTTAATATACGTAGTAGGTATTTAAGATAGTATCTTTAAAAAATAGTTACATGCACAGAGCGTGGGTTTTACAGTTATTTTTTATATGATATAATTATTTTAATGAATGGTGAGTGTATTTTATTACGTGTGAATAACTTAAAGATACAGAACTGGACTATCTAGTACAGTAGTATTTATACTTTCATATTATAGCTAGGTAATAAATAAAAATGGCATCCTCGTAGCTACTTTTCAATTGACATACAAGAAAACTGAGATTCTGAATATGACTGTTTATTTTTTATATGTTTTAACTCCGATTTTCAAACTCGCTACACGTAATATGTGAACCCATTTTGATAATTCTTTTTTTTTATTTGAAACCTGGTGCTCCTCGTATAGTGTCATATAAGTTAGATCAAGATTTAACTAGCAGTTTTTGAGTTATCCCTAATAATGTGAATGGAGGCAGATTTTTCGTAGCCCGAATACTATTTCTGTAAACTCGAGATATTTGTATTATTAATATTATAATAATGACAAGCACTTATATTATGGATACACATATGTATATATATATATATATATATGTGGGAATATCGCGGGTAAGACTTGAAGAATAGTCTTATATTATTAAATTATTTATTTACGTCTTTACATCGTTCTGTCAACTGTTTTATTATTTTAATTAAAAATTAGCCTATTATAAAAATGAATCATCAATCAATAATCCACTTCCTAGATACATAGATATATGTATCTATGTATATACTGATATCAGCATAACTTTTAACCGGTGTAGACTTTGTATAAAGTCATGTATGTACTTATTTAAGCGTCCAAAACGGTTTCTTTCAAAACTTTTAAGTCCTTAATCTAAGTAAATCCTCAATGCACTGAAGTGACATTGCATATAAGATACCACTTGCGTCAAATAACGACATAATGTTCGTAATTCTGTTTATGTATACATGGCGATGCGACTGTTATTACATTATTATCATTCGAATATTATTACATTATTATTATTAATTGAATTAATACAAATCCATATTAATTTTATCGCATTGTCGAACACAGTTTTCATCCCATAATTGGTAGAGTATAGAGTAAATCCTAAATTCTGAGTAGAATATATACATTACAAATATCTATTTTTCAATATTTCGAACATGTAACAGATGCCTTAGTTTACGATTTTATCACAAATGCACATTTATTTTAAGCAACATATTTTTTATCACAATTGGGATTAATAGTAAATATATTCTAACTATATTACGCAAAGGTAATAGTAATACACATATATGTACGAGTATATTGGGGAGGGAGGAATTATTAGACTTGGGAATTATTACAAATTCATCAGGATTTAACCCTGATATCCTGACACGGTACATTGGTAACGATTATAATAATATTTTTAAGGACAATTCACACAGGGCTATCTAGTGCCAAGCTAAGCAGAGCATGTGTTCGGGTAGGTACTAGACAACTGATACTAATAGATAGATACTTTTTTTTGTAAATCCATATATAATATACAGAGGAAACATCCAGACCGATGCAAACAATCATAATTATGAATAAAATGTTTGTGCCGTGCGAGGAATCTAACCCGCAACCTTCGGAACTAGGCACTAGGCAACCGCGCCCGTCAGTGGGTCTACATAGTGGTTTATTCCTGATGAATTTGTCATGAGCCAACTGACTTGATATTAAGCTCATCTCATCATCCTCTACTGGTGCCAGGCCAGCATATACCGTTAGCGCAGGCCGGAACACTACGCCATTATCATCCATTAAAAATATATATAGCTATTTATAGATAGCTATATGAAAAACGTAATTGAAATTATTTCTTAGAAACCTTACAATAATATAATATGGAATATTATAATGGAATTTTGAACTATAATACGTAGGTAGAAGGTTAAAAATGTTATAGTTGCTGGCTACAGGTGATCTGGCGACGATGAGATGGGATCAATATTGTTGCAGAACACCTTACGAAGCCTTGATTACTGCAATTCGCACGTTAGCTGCTAGAAACGTAAGCGAATAGAGATTATGGCACCCGGTATATGTGTACTTAGATTTGATGTAATCATACAGGTATGATGTTCGATATAGAAGTTATATTACTTTGAATGGTATGTGGCAAGGTACAGACTTCAAATTAGATCAAATACCAGTGAGAACTAGATCGATAAAATTTTTAGAAATGTAATCTAAAAATAATCCGATAGATTTCAAAGTCAAAATTGTTTATTTATGTAGGATACTTTCGTCTACTTATGCCTGTAAATTGTTTATCACTATCCCGTTCAGTTCGGCTGGCTACTTCAGTCAAGAAGAACTGGCAGAAAACTATCTGCATTGATTTGTATTTTGGTATTGATTCGCGTCGCCTTGTCAATAATACCTACTTTTAAAATGAAATATATAAAATTCAAACGAATATAAAATTAATCTGTTGGCAAATAAAAAATCAATGTGATTTATACATAAAATGTTATTGTTCAAATGATAGAAAAATAAGAATAAGAATTACCGAATTAATGTTGTGAAAAGTGAATCCGTCTAGCAGTGTTTCCGTGATTACAATTATTGAAATTTTATTCTTAATTTTTTATTTATATCATCTCTGCAAATATTACATTAATTAGCTATATAGGTATATTCCGCCATCACTTACAATGTACACCAATCATCAAAGAATTTGACTATTTTTAAAATACCCTCACGTATTTATAAAGCTTTTCAATTGAATGCGATGACTGTTGACTTTGGTCATGATCGCTCTAAAAAAGTAAATACATTTCCTTCAGTTGCTTTTTGCGGTGCTCTTTATAGTCTGCAATTGATGTTTTCTGCTTCAAAATACGTACGTGATATCTTTTTCTAGAAAAAAGTATTCTAAGAAATATAGTCAGTATTTCTGAGATTTATTTTTTCAAGGAACAGTTCAATCAAATCGTTTCATGCAAAACAAATTTATTGGCTTTACGTGTAAAAGCCAGAGGTCCTACATAGTTCTTTATTCCTTTTCTACTGAAAAGGAATAAAGAACCTACCTATATAATACCTACTACTGTAGGTAGCTAACTATACATAGTACTTATACATCTTAGTAATCCTTTATTTAAGATATTTCGATAGCTGATATAAGATTAATAATACTATTTATACAATAATAATATTCATCGCATCAGGTGAGATTGCGGTAAAACGCGCTCAAATTTTAATATAAAAAAAAAAGTATATTTTTTTATTGTATAATACAAGCAGAGCATATCAAGCTATCAAACTCTTAAACAGTAATACCATATTACTCACTAAACGATTACTTGAATGACAAACGTGCATGGCGTAAGTTTTCAACGTACTCATTTTTATAAGGTTATGTACACCTAATGAACACAAAAAATAAGTTTAAAAAATAAGAGATGTATGTATACTCCACTGAAAATGTCGCCTGATTTAGACGACACTTTCTATTAAGAAAAGTAGTAAAACTGGCTGAATAAAAATATAAAACAATAAGTTTGAAAATCAAAGACTAACATACATGCAATAATATATGAAACACATATTCCTTTTATTAAAGTTGGTTAAAAATTACTTGTAGCAGTGACTGAGACTGACTGTCCTAATAAAAATAATAAAATTAAACACTTCTGAGTTTTATTATAAAATTTAGT